GGAGCCAACACCCCACGTCCGCCTTGACTCCGGGTTTCAAATCCGCCTTTTCGTCGCCATCCCCGCCCGCTCTGGAGTTCTCCTAAACGCTGCAGTCCGAGTGCTCGGGCGCACAGTCCTCCTCGGCTTGGCGCCGGGATGCGGGCGCCGCTCGGATCCGGGAGGGGGCGTGGCGTGTCCGCAGCGAAGGTCTGTGGCCTGGGGGTCGCGTGGGTAAGCGGAGCCCCGCGGACTCCGTCTAGGACGCAAGGTTTCAGTCGACAGTCTTTGCAGGGGAGCCTCGTCAGGTGGACCCGCCGTGCTGCGTCCCCCCACGAGGCGTCGCTTGGAGCCTCGGAGCCCTCGGGTCACCGGCCGGGCTGCCGGGGCTCAGAGGCTGGCGCAGGTCCCAGGCGAGCGCCCCGACAGAGCGCCGGTGCGGAGCGGTGTTCACGCGTTCCGACCTCCCTGCGGGCGCCCTCGCTGCGCCGCATCCAGCGGGCGGAGAGGCTAGAGGAGGAGACCAGAGGGGGAGGTGGGACTGGGGGAGCGAAGGACGTTAGGGGCATCTCCCCCGAGCAGCCTCCTTTGCCTGGCCGGGACCAGAACGCCCTCGGCCTCTGGTCCCTGCGCCGTGGCGTCTCCTTCCCCCACGTGTCGGCTTCGCTGGGCACCGCGAGCCAGCCCCAGCTGGAAGCTGCCAAGAACAGGGGACTGGTGGGGCCCCGCGGCCAGGAGAGGGTGAGCCAAGGGTGCCGCTCCCTCCGCCGAGGCTTGGCGGCCTCGGTGCGCTCGAGGCTGTGCGCGGACAGAGCTCCGCGCGGAGTGCTCTCCCCCACCCGAAACAGACCAGCCGCAAGGCTCCCCAATAAACCGCCGAGCCCGCTCCCCGAGACCCCGCCCTTCAGAGACCCGCGGCCACACTCGAAGCTCACCTCCCCGGGAGCGCCACCTCCGCTGGGACTGTCCCCAGGTCCCCTCCTTGCCGCGGCCCTGCCCTACAGAGAGACGCGGGGAGCAGAGGTCCACGCCGGGCTTTGCCTTGCCTGGCCCGCGCGTTCCGGCGCTGCAACAGGTGGAGCCCAGCGGCTGTCTGAGGAAGCGACTCCACTCCGTCCCCCGCCCCCGGAGCCGCCCCCAACGCCAGTCTCCGCCCGCAGATGCCAGGCTTTCGGCGGCCTCTCAGGGGGCTGCGGTGCTCCCGCCCCGGGCGCGCAGATCCGGGGAGTGGGTGCTGAAGAGGCGGGTCAGGTGCTTAGCGGGCTGTGTGCGCCCTTCTCCGGCCAGAAGAGGGCGCTCTGTCCCCTTCAGCCACAGCTCGCCCCTAACCTGTGCACCCATCTACACACTGCCCCTCGGAATCACCAGCCCCCTGGAATGTGGGAGTGAATACGGATTCGTAACGGAATGAATGCATGGGCATCTTCGAACTAGGTAGAATTTCCTCGCCCCTCCCCGAGAGAGTGGTCCCAGGCTTAAAGCCCACCCACCCACCTACACTCCCCAGGAGCACAGAATGAAAAACCACACAGCTCTGGATTCCAATAACCTGGCATCAGAAGCCCTGAAGCTGCTAGCATTCCTCTCAGCTCCGTTATGCAGACCCGAATGCCCCTCTTTTACCTAGCCTATTGGGGGTGGGGCAAGAGCATTAGGGGGTAGTGCGTATGCAGGCACCTGTATACACCCTGAGTGGGGCCTGCCCACTACCCCCACCATTTTATTATGAAAAATGTCAAACATAAAGTTGAAATCATTGAAAAGTGAACACCCAGATACCAGATTCTACAAATGAACATTTTACTTGTGTATTATATATTCATCCAACCCTCTTTCCATCCATCAACCCATCTGGTTTAAACACATTTCAAAGTAAGCTGCAGGGATCACCATTACTTCTCCCTGCATATCATTAACTAGAGTTCAGTAGTTTTCTTTTGGGGTAAAATTTACATACAATGAAATGCACAAATCTTAAGCAAACCATTAGTTTTGACAAATGCATACACCTTTGCAAATTAAAGGCCTACCTGTCAACCAAATATCACTAATAAGTCAGTTACCGTGTCCCTTCCCAGCAAATCCCCGCTCACATTCCTACAGAGGAAGTCGCCGTTCTTAATTTTTTTTCTAACAACGATTCATTTTGCCTTTATAGCACTTACTTTTGCCTGTTTTAGATCTTCATATAAATGTACACTTTTGTGTAAAAGCATTGTTTTTGACATCCATCCATGATATGTCTTAGAATAATTTGTACCTTGTTATTCCTAGTTTTTTTTTTACTGTTTGACTATATCAAAGTTTTATTTATTCTATTGATAGAAACCAGGGCTGTCAGAAAATTGTGGCTGTCTTAGGTAACTTAGAAATGTTCTTGTGCAAGTATTTGTGGATGTATGTTTTCTTAATCTATTGGGTAAATAGGAGTAGAATTGCTGGAATAGGGTAGGTGTGAATTTAATTTTATAAGAAACTGCCCAACATTTTTCTGTAGCTGTATCAACCATGTACAATAGTTCCAGATGTTCCACATCCTTGTGAACATTTGACGGAATCATTTTAACTTTAAACACACTGGTGGATGTGTAGTGGAAAGTGCTTTTTTTTTTTTTTTTACTGAGTTATGGAGGTTCTTTATATATCCAGGAGATTACTTCTTCCTTTCTCGGATAAATATCTTGCAAATATATTCTACTAGTTTCTGGCTTGCCTGTTTCTTAAAGATGTTTTCTGATGGATATGTTTTTGATTTTGGTAAAGCCCAATTTCTTTTGTTTGTTGTGCTTTGTGTCCTAAAAGATCATTACTTCCCTCAAGGTTGCATGTTTTTTCTTTTTCCCTAGAGATTTTAGTTTCAGCCTTTATATTTGGGTCTATGATTCATTTTAAGTTTGTTTCTGTATAGGTAAGAGTCGAGGTTCATTTTGTCCATGTGGATATCCAGTTATCCGAGTGCCATTTTCTGAAAAGATAAAACGAGTGAACTTATTTTAGATATCTGTATATTGCTCATTATATGTCCATCCTTATGCTAATAGCACAGTATTTAGATTGTAGCTTTATAGCAAGTCTTGAAGTCAGGAAGTGTATGTTTTCCAACTCTGCTCTTCTTTATTAAGATTTTCTTTGGCTATTACAAGACCTTTACATGTTCATTAAAAAAATTGTAGAATCAGCTTGTTAATTTCATCAGAAAAAGCCTTGTTGGGTCTTGATTAGCATTGTGTTGGATCTATTTTGGAGAGAACTGACATCTTAATTCATGATTTAGGCATATCCATTTATTTGTCTTAGCAAATTTTCATGTAGAGTCTTGTACATCTTTTGTACTTTCATCCTAAAGTATTTTGTTTTTTGATGCTATTGTAAGTAAAACATCAAGATTTCCCTTTCCAAGTGTTTGCTGGAGGATATATAAATATGAATAATTTTTGCAAATTAACTTGATTCCTAAAACCTTGCTAAAATCACTGATTAGTTGTAGTTGATTCTTTTAGGATTTTCTATGAAAATATTCACGTCATCTGAAATAAAATTTTGCTTATTTCTGATATTTATTTTTCTTGTTCTTATCTTACTGCAATGGCTAGGACCTCAGTATAATGTTGAATAGAATAGGTAGGTGGAAGCAGATATCCTTGTCTTGTTCATGATCTTAGGGGAAAGTCTTTAGCTTTTCACCACTAAATATGATGTTAACTGTGGGATTTTCATAGATACCCTTTATCTGGTTAAGAAAGTATCCTTTTGTTTCTAGTTTTGAGTTAAAAAAAAAAACATGAACGAGTACTGAATTGTCAAATGTTTTCTCTGCATCTAGTGCAACGATCATATGGTTTTCTCCTTTGTTAATATGTTGCATTTCATTGATTGCTTTTCTAACCTTAAGCCAACTTTGCAGTTTGGGGATAGATTCCACTTGAGAGTTCTACTATTATTTTTCGTTCTTCTACTTCCTTTTGGGTTGCTTCTTTTTCCAGATTCTTACAGTGGACACTTACATAACTGATTTTAGACCTTTCTTCTTTTCTAATGTTAGCTATAAGTTTCCCTGTTATCCCTGTGATAACTGTATCCTGAAATATTTGGTATGTTTTCCTATCATTTTTGTTCAAAATCTTTTTCTTTTCTTACCCATAAATTATTAAGCAGTGTGTTGCTTAACTTCCAAAAATGTTTTTTTTTTTAGACAAATTATTTATTTGTAACATTGTCAATGTGGCCAGAGAACCACATTTAATGTCTCACTGAGACCTGTTTTATGTTCCAGCATATGGTTGATCTTAGCGAATGTACCACATGCACTTGAACATGTCTTCTGCAGTTCTTGGGTGTAGTGCTTTATAAATGTCAATTAGGTCAAGGTGGTTCATACTACAGTAGTCTAATATGGTGACTATTGAGCACTTGAAATGTGTCTACCATCTTAGCATAGGTTGAGACCATTTACAGGTAGTGATGTATATGAGTGGATTTAGGTCTGCCCTTTGACCATTTGCTTTATTTGTCCCCACTGCTTCTTGTTCCTGTTCTTCCTTTCCCATCCTCTGGAATAACTGAAAAAGTTTTAGAATTCCACTTTCTTGACTTTTTAGCTCTGTCTCTTTGCGTTACTTTTTAAGTGGCTGCTCTAGGGATTAACTTTTCATAGTGCTCTAAGAGTTAATATTGTATGACTTTGTGTAAAATATAGAAAGCTTGCGACTGTACAGGTTTATATCCCAGTTTCTCTACATCTATTATGCCATGGTTGTCATTCAGATCACATCAACATATGCTAAAATGCACAATACAATTTTTTTTTTCCTTCTTAAACAGTAATATATATTCTTAAAGAGAAAAAAACGTAGTCTTTTATGTTTACGCAGACATCTGCTGTTTCCAGTGGTTTTCCTTCCTTGCTGAATAACGAGTTTTTCTCTGGTATACTCCCTTCAGCTTGAAGAATTTCCTTCGGCATTTCTTGTAGTGCAGATCTGCAAATTCTCAGTTTTCTTTTATCTGAAAATGTGGTTGTTTCATCCTTATTTGTGAAGAATGTTTTCACTGAGGTGACTTTTTCTCCCAGCACACTGACGATGTTGCTGTTCTGCCTTCCGGCGTCCCATGTTCCTGAGGAGAGGTCAGCAGCCACTGGGATCACTGCTCCCAGCTTCCTCCAGCTGCTTTTAAGATTTTCTCTTGCAGTTCGGTCGTTAGTAGTTTGACTGTGATGCACCTCGGCATTTTCTTTGTATTAATCCTGCTGCTTATTCACTGAACTTCTTGAATCTGTAAATTTGTCACCAAATTTAGGAAAATTTTTAGCTATTATTTCCTCAAATGTTTCCTCTGCACCATATGTTCTCATCTCCTAGGATTCCAATTACATGTAAGTTAAACTTTTTGATATTATCCCACATGTCTCTAGGCTTCCCAACCCCCCAATTTATTTTCAATGTTTTCTTTTTGTTCTTCAGATTGGATAATTTCTCCTGACCTGTCTACAAGCTCTCTGACCCCTCTGTAATCTCCATTCTATTAAGCTCATCTAGTGAGTTTATTGTACGTTCCAGTTCTAAAAATTCCATTTCGTTCTTTAAAAATAATTTCCATTAATCTGCTGAGGTTCACTGTCTTTTTATTCACTATGAAAATCTTTTTTATACCCCTGAACGTAATTTTAATGACTGCTTTAAAATCTTTGACTAGAAATTCCTGGGGGTGGTTTCCCTTGCTTTGCCTTTTTTTTTTTCTTTCAGTGGAATGTGTTTATTGAGATATATTGTAAGCAGCACAGAGGAAGGGCATCTATAGCAGAAAATGATTTTTCTTTTTCTTTTCTTTTTTTCTTACAGTGGAATGTGTTTATTGAGATATATTGTAAGAAGCACAGAGGAAGGGCATCTATAGCAGAAAATGGTTCCAACAGAAGATGACAGAAGGTAGTCTGCCAGGATCCCACACTATCAGTGGACTGCTCTACCCACTTCCCTATCACCTGAGAGCCTCCTGGACCATGACAGAGTACTACAAGCTCACAGGAGGCATTCCATGAATGCTGAATTAAGGAGGGACCCAGGCACAGAAGGCCCCCTCTTCTCTAGAGACCCCAGGCTGAGGCACAAGGTACATGAAGTAGAGATAGAAATGAACAAGAAACGTTATAATCCTACCTGCCCCCTTCCCTGCCACCAATCACACACACCAGCACTACCAGCACCACTATGATTACCCAGCCTCTACAGACAAGAGAAAATGGACACTCCGACACCCAACACAGTCCTGAGTCCAGTGTCCAAGAGGGAAAGAAAAATAAGCAGGCATGATTACGGCTTTACTTGGTATCAGGGAGGACCGGGCAAGGACTGTGATGTGGAAGTGGGGCCTGCACGCCAGGCCAATGCTGGTCTTCGGGGCAGTGCTGGGAGCTTAGGGCTGAGCCCTACAGGCCAGGGGTCCGGTCAGATTCCTCAGAGCAGAGCAACCACTGAAAGGAAGGTTGGTCTGGTTGGCTTCATTGCAAGAGGGTTAATGTGGGTGGAGGTAGGGACACCACTGAAGAAAAGCGGGCAACTGAGCTTTACAGGGCCCAGATGGAAAAGTGTTGGGAGGACAGTAAGGGGGCCAGTAAGGCATCTGGGGGAGAAGCGAGTGAAAAGAAGAAAAAAGACAGCAGGTTCTAGAGGTACAGGGAGCCCCATGTGTTCTCCGGGGCTTGTAGTACTTCTTGCTCCAAAATCATGGCTGTCCAAGGACCTAGTTGTTGCCCCACACTGCAGTCTTTAGAAACAGAGGACCCGGGAGGAAGCGGCTGGACTGCACGGAGGCAGGGATCTTCTTCGGTCCCTCGAAGTGGACCACAAAGTCCTTCAGGTCTGTGAATGTGTCCAGGCATTTGGGTTCAAATATATGGCGTAGGTCTAGGATGTCATAAGCCAAGAAATCCACATAAGTGAGCGTGTCCCCTGCAGACCAAGACCTCTTCCCCAGAACCTGAAGCAGCTTCATCTTTTCAGGCCACGCCTTCAAGGACTCAGGCTTCGGTTTCTGAGTCAGGGCTATAGCAGATCCTGACCAGGGACATTTGGATGTTCAGAACTTTGTTCTCCAAAATGTCCATGTGAATCTTCTCTTCCCTCTCCCCACATAGGTTGTGCCTATGAGCAATGTAGCGAAGGATGGCATTGCTCTGGGTGAGCCTGTGAGCCCCAACAATTAAGTAGGGCAGACTGGAAAAGTCCAGCACCAGCTTGAATTTTTCACTCAGCCACCGGCTTCTGTCATAGTCGGGAGTATCCCCCCTTCATGTATTTCTCCTCATAGTGTGAGTCTGTGTACTCCAGAAGCGGGCAGATGGCGTGAGTCAGCCCACAGATGTCCCAGTGACTAAAAGTTATGGCCATGGTACTGATTTTGCTGAGTGGATGGGCTTTTGTGGAGCTAGACTTAAAAATTACTCTCCTTTGCTTTTCTTTTGAGAATAAGCTGTTTTTATTATTTGTATATTGAGTAATTTTGGGTTACATTCTAGACATTATAATTGATGTATAATTTATAATATAGAAACTCTGGATTGTTATGTTCCAATGAAAATAATTATTTTTAAACGGGTAGTCCACTTGGCTGAACTCAACAGCAAAACTGTCTCCCTGTAGTAGGAAGTAGCTCAAATTTTAGTTCCGTTCTGTGCATGCATGATTCAGCGGTCAGCCAGAGATTTGAGTAGAGTTTACATACAGAATTTGAGAATCCACTCTCTGGCTCTGTTGTTATTCCCTTCTCCACTCTCAAAGGCTGTGGTCACTTCAAACCCTGTACTCTGGATGGTCAAGCCAGTAAGACTGCAGATTTTCCACAGGAGGTTTACCTGCTTTGCTTGGTGCAGACTGAGACGTGATCTCAGGCCTAAAGTGGTAAATAGGAAACTGCCCCTCTGTGGTGCCTTTCTTCATATACTGACTCCCTTCCAGTTTCTGCTTGCTTTTGGTCACTTTCAGTACCTTTAAGCAGCTGGATTTTAAAGACTTTGTTTCCCAGAGCTTATATGTTTGATTTGTGAACGAGCTGGTTCAGTAGGAACTATTCGGCACTGCCAGAAACCTGTGTTACTTGGTTTTCCCCACAGCATTTTACAATGAAAATTTCAAACGTATGCTAAAGTTAAAAGAATTCTACAGTGGCAGTCTTGTTGGTACACTTAAATTTTCCTGTTTGCTTTATCATGTACCTAACCACCCATTAATACACCTTATTTTAATGCATTTCAAAATAAACTGCAGACATCAATACACATGTCCCGAGATCCTTCAGTATGTATATCATTACAGTTCAACAAGTTAGTTTTCTTTGGATGTAGAATTTACATACAGTGAATGTACATATTCAAACCATACATTTAAAAAAAATCAGCTTTATTGAGCAATATATACAGCAGATCCTCAAATAACACCATTTTGTTTGAATGTTAATGAGATGCCACAGGAACTTTACTCCTGTTTTTATCAATTAACCTATGATAAAATTGCTTTTGTTATACATCGTTTTGCTTTAAGTCCCAGAACCTATTAACGGCGTTAAGTGAGGACTTAATATAATTTACATATAATAAAAGTTACCAATTTGGTGACTATAATTCAAAGAGTTTCATAAAAAGTAACCAATGCCACAATCATGATAGGAATATTACCATCGCCCCAAAAGTTCCTTCATGCAGCCAGTCCCCTCTCCCCGTGCCTTATTTTTAAGGCTTCCCAGTTCTGCTTTGGTCAAGAGCCAGGGTACGGCTCCAAGAACAGGAATTAGAGACCGGGGGAGAGACTAGCCACTGCCAAGTGTGTCTTCGAGTGCCAGAGGAGAAAGGAATGGACACGTGGAGTGTGTGGGACCAAAGCTTGGGCTGGGCTCTTCAGAAGTGTTTTAAAGTTGTTTCTAGAATGATGTTAAGTGGCTCATTGAGACCCCATGGTCCAGATTCTGCTAGTCCAAGCACAATAAAGATGCTCGTTTCCTGAGCCCGTTACGGTATCAGAGGAGTTCTGGGAGCAGGTGCTTGCTCTCATGATCTTCAAGAAGAACGCAACATGCGGTAGGTTTCGCATGCCTCTTGGAGCCCGTTTCTTCATTTGTAAAATGGACTTCCTTCCAGGGGTGAAGTGTCCACTCACCCCTGGGGTTCACATGAACACGGACTCCCCAGTCCCACTCAACCACCATGAGGACCCCCTCTCTCCTGGAAGCGGCAGGCAGCATGGATCCAGTACTTCCGGGGTGGGAGGCATGCAGGTCAGCTGTGCAGTCGTTCAGGGCGTTTCAGAGACTGGGCCCAAGCTGAAGACGTCCCTGTGAACACAGCCCCTTCCTGTGGAGTTGAGGCCACTGTGCTGCAGCCAGGACTCGTAAATCTACCCCCGTCTTCTGAAAAGAACCTGCAGTTAGTAGTGTGGAAGCCAAACTTGTGAGAAAACGCTCACTTTTCCAAAGGCATGGGGTTTATCTTCTACACTTGAATTCTCTAAGTGCCGCGGAGAGAGACCACCAGCTCCAGGCACTTTCATTTACCTAGAATAAGAATCATTGCAATGTACAATTATGTAGTGCTTCCCAGTGCTCATGAGCACCATTTCGTTTGATTCTTACATCAAGCCATTGAGACAGGAAGGATAAGTAGTAGCCTCACTTAACAGGGGAGAAAATGAAGACTCAGAAGCATCAAATGACTTGCCTGAGGTCTCAGTGCGGAGGGCACAGATCTGGGACTTGACAGCTCTGAGTCCCGAGTCCCTTGGAGCTGAGTCACCTCTCCGGCTTTAGTCAAATCTCTAGCAGTTACCCAAGTGACCACTTGTCTTCATTTAGGGTAGCTGAACTAGCAAACCTGGGAAGGCATACATTTCATACTGTAACCCTGAACACGCTCATATAAATTGAAACAAAAATGACCTCACTTTGTGTTACACACAGACATTTTCTATATTTCATTTAAAAGTGCTGGTCACGACCCCCTAAATTTATTTCATGATTCACTGAAGGGTTGTGACCCACAGTTTGAAGTCTCTTTTCCAGAACAGAGTACAAGGGTTCACTTACTTATGGAGCTTTTCGTGAAACTTGGATTTTGAAATGTCCTTGGTTTTCTTTTGCTTTTAAATAAAATCTGCATGCCTGTACACATTATTGAAGGATGTGGCACAGTATTGAGAGTTTACCTAGAGATGCTTCTTGCTGCAGAATGAACCTCAGGCGTTTTCCCACTTGTCTTTGGAGATTCCGCACCCGGCCCCTCCTGACGAGGGGCTGTCCCGTGATCTCGACTGCTTGCATCAGGGATGGACATGTGGCTCAAGCTGGACAATCAGGTGCATCGAGGGACTTGCCGGAGCTACTGGGAAAAAAGTATTTTTTCTCTGGAATGACAAGCTGGAAGTAATACGGGACCCTGATGCCGGGGATTGGTGTGGCAGGGAATTTCAGCCTCCAGGTGGACAGGGCTTGCTTGGGAATGACGTCTGTATTCCAGAAAGCAGAGCTGAGACTTGGAGATCAGCCCAGGTACATTGCGATCCTCCGGCTCCAGCATTTGCTGGACTTAACGTTAACGTCTCTTTCATTGCTTAAGCCTAATTAATCTGGTTTCTGTAACTATAAAAGCATCTGGATATATTCTTCCATAAAAATATTGATAAAATACGATTGAATAATATATATCTACAGGCTTTTGTATTTTAGTAATGTCAATTATCTGAAACATACGCACACACACCCCCACCCCCAGAATCAGCATTCAGCTACCACGATGTTAATTTCTAAAGAACCTATGAGCAAAGAGCCACCCAGAGCATATAGTGGCATCATCTGTGTCCTCAGGGCCAGAAAGCGATATATATTAGTTGTGTGACCCTGAACCTTATTTTTCCCCTCTATAAAATGAGGTTACTATCACCTGCCCCATGGTGTAATGATGTGTATAGTTACCTGCGATCATAACCCATAATAAATTCCCTATGGATGCAATTTCTCCTTTGCCATTCCCTTCCGTGCTTCCCCTTATTCACGTTCATTAAACTAACTGGTCCAGATGCCTTCCAGTTCTTAATAAAGTGGAATGGGGCTCTCTGAAAACCTTCCTGCAGAGGTAACAGAAAACTGAGCCAAGTGCCTCAGACTGATTAACACTGGCCAGACTGCAGGTCCAGTGGAGCTGCTGGTGGGGAATAAATATCATTTCTACATGGCCATTGGATTCTGCTTTGAGACGGACTTGCTAGATATGGACTACAGATCATACCCAGACTTGCGATGCTATGGCCCCATATTTGCTCGCTCCCCATTTCATATCCCAGCACCCCATTTCCTGGGCAGCCTCTTGCCTTCCCCCTCTCCAGCATCTCCTGTGTCACCTCTCCTGACACTAGGGCTGATCCTTCTGCTCTGTGCTTTACATCTAGGGAGTCCATGGAAACACCAGGTTTCAGAGAATTTACTAGAACATACTTAACATGGCAAAGTGCTCAGCCCTCAAGGTTCTCATTGGAAAGGAAGCTGCTCCACTCTCAGGTTCTGGCTTTAGTAATTCAGTGGCTCGGTCTCGCATGCTAATGCCATGCAGAGTGGTTGGTTTTTGTGTGCCACTAGTTGGTTCTGTCACGCCATGACTTGCTGTTATAGTGGTTAAAAGGCACTGGTTTTGTAGCTACAGTTACATATTTTATACACAAGGCCTCCTCCTTGGCTGGGGCTTGGGAACATCCGCCACACTTGCTGCATGGGTTCAAATCCCAGCTCTGCCACTTGCCAGCTGTGTGACATTGGGCCAATATCTGAGTTTTCCCATCTGTAAAAGAGAGATAATAGTACCTCCTTCCTTGGGTTAGTAGTATGAAGATTAAATCAATTAACACACACAAAATACACAGAACAGTACCTGGAACAGAGCATGTGCTCGGAGGTGGTCACCAGATTCCACGTTATGTCCTGGCTGTATGTGTTGCTGGTGTTTCCCAAGGACAGAGAGCTGCACACAACCCCTTATCTGATCTGCCTCATCTTTTGTTTTTGTGTGTCGATACTATTATAAGCAAGGCTACTTAAGACATATTTATTAGTTAATAGAAATGTAGTAAAAAATTGTAGTTTTATTTGTAGTACTCCTTTGTTGGTCCTTGATATTGCTTGGAGTAAGTGGGCTACTAAACTTGGAAAACTTGTCAAAGATTTTATCATTATGGGATCTTACCTATGTATAATATGTAGTTGGCACATGATCAATAGACTTTTAGATTTAATCCTATACAATAGCTAAGCTATTTTATTTCTGCTAGTCATTGAATTCTTGATGGACTTTTGTCATCAGACTTTGTCATTATATCATTTCTCCATTAATACGATTGCTACATTTTATAAATGTAATAAAGAATATCTAGCCTTTTCTTTGAGGTATTCAGCAGTCAAAAGCAAGTATTCTCGAGGAGGGGGTTACGGCTCTTACTTCTTTAGTAATGAGGGAAAAATTCAAATGTCCTAAGATCTGAATCAAATGAACACCTAGGTCATCCAAAATGGTTTCATAATGGATGAAATAATATGAGATATTTCCTTAGAAAGTGAATTTTTAATTTCATGTGGAAAAAAAGTGACAAAATCAAACCTAAGATCCTTATTTTAAGCATACTGAATCTGATGCACAAACCATATTCATTTGAAGTCATGTAGTATTAACAATTTCCACTAAGGAAAACTGTACAGCTTCTACAGAAGAACCCAGAGAAACAAGACTTGGCTCCGTCGCTCATGGTGGGACCTTATGAATGTTATTTCATAGAAGGCTGACGTATCGTATAAAAGCATCTGTCTACAACAGACTGGGGGACATGGTCCACCTCCTCAGATCCCGTCTACCACACTGCCTGGGAGCTAGGGCCACCTGGCAGTACAGAACAGATTCTGGACGCTGCCAGACCTGGGTTCAAATACTGGCAGATGCACTTTCTAGAAGTATGACCTTGGACAAGCACCTTGTTCGGGTCCAGGTTTCCTGATCGGGAAAATGAAGATAATCCTAATGAATTAACTGTAACAGCTACAGTACCAATCGCCGTACAGTTCTCTGAGCAGGCCCGACTAAGCACTTTCATGTAGTCATTCACTGGACACTCAATAACCCTCTGCAGTGCGTATTACTACACCTGTCCCCCTCCCCGGCCATTTTACAGTTGAGGAGACCAAGGCACAGAGAATTTAAGTAACCTGGTCTAGGTTGCACAGCCAGTAAGTAGCAGAGCTGGGATTCAAACGCTGGCATCCTGACTCCAGCTCTCAGCTCTAAGTCCCTTTGCAGTCATGTGGGTCAGATGAACGACATACCTGTGAGACCTCGCATGGTATCAGCCATGACTACCAGCTGTCCGTCTGCCATTGCTGCCTTGACTGGCTGGGCCTTCAGCAGCCCAGGTTTTCTGGGTCCTGCTCCAGAGCAAGCTGACTGCTTGTAGCCATGGTGACTTTGCCCCTGCTGCCCCTACCCAGGATGGGACTACCATGCTAGTGAGAATCTTAGGTCCTCTGCCACAGTCCTTTGGACACCCAGCTCAGGCTGTACCTGCCCTGGGCTGTCCCCACTGCTACACTGGTCTCTCTTGCCAGCCCAGGGTGCCCGCCCGTTGTCTCTGGGCTCATCGGATGCAGGGTTTGAATGTTTTAAGAAGTAGAAGGCAGGGTCAGAAAAGGCTTAAGCCTTTGTTTTGTAAACTGTGGAATGAACTGGTTAAACTAATTCAGTGGCTTCCCAACTTTTTTAAAAGCAGAGCACTAAAAAAACAAAAACCAAAAAATAAAAACAAAAAAACCCCAGCTAGTATCCCAAACAGAATCTCAGCATGTACATACAGTAGGAGAAGCAGAGGCTCCGCGGTGGGAGGGAGGGGGCCCTCCGCTGGGTCTTCCCAGCCTCTTCCTGTCATAGCATCCCCACCCCTCTGAGTTCTTAATTTGAAAAGTCTAGGCCTCCGAGGAACAGTCTGAAAAACAATTTTAAAAAACTCTTTCCAAATTAACGTTCGGTTCTTCTAAGCTGTAAGATGAAGAGGCTGGTGACAAACTGGAGATCGACTCCATGCGAAAGAAAACAAAGAGGGCCTAAATGGCCTCGGGAGGGCTGGGTCCCTCCGAATGAAGGACACGGGTAGAAGGACACTCACAGCTCTGGCCCCAGCCAGCCGTGTGGCCTGGGCGACACCCTGAACCTTTCTGGGCCTCATCCTCCCTTGTGAATTGAAGGTGCCAAACTGTGTCACCCTTCGGGATTTCTTCCGACTGTAATACTTGTGTGCTTTTGTCTGATTCTCTGAGCTGTCTTTTCTGGAAATCTGTGGGGATGGGAGAGACGCCCACGCAGCCTGGGGAACGGGTGAAGGAAGCGGCAGGTGGCTCGGTCCGGTGAGACCCAGCGCGAGCAGTGAGGCGGCCAGCACGGGTGCGGGGCGGACGGGAAGCCACGTGCAGCTGCGGGGCCGAGGGGCCACGTGACTCACCGCTCTGACCCGCGGCCACAGCAGCCTCAGCGCCAGGCGCCAGGAATCGGCAGACTGATGTCCGGCGACCCCCGAGACACGCTCGGCAAGCTGAGGGAAGGCTGGGCGAGGAAGCGAACGGTCACACTCTTCCTCTGACAAGTGTCAGCTGAACGAAGAGCACGGGGCGCGATGGAGCGCAGCGCACAGTCAGCCTTCAATCCCGAAGGGCCGGCGCCACCATGAGATTCCGCGTCGCTGTGAGGAGCGTTTCATGGCTCTGCATTCTTTCGACATCGTGAAGTTTAATAGTCCTCATCCCAAAGCACAGCGCAGCCAAGGGAATTAAGAAAATACATCTTAAAAAAATTTGGGGGGGGGGGATCGGTGAGAAATGGTAACAATTGTAACCAATATCCATGTTCAAAAGAGCGACCCCGACGAAGCGCTCCCCAGGGGCGCAGACGAAACTCAGGGACGTGAACACCCCGTTCGGACAAGAACGCCCCCCGTTTGGGGCTCGCGGTCTCAGCACGGCGGCTTCACCGGGCTTCGGGCTCTCACGATGGAACCCACATGTTCCCGTGTGTATCTGGGGCTTTGACGTAGGGAATGTTCCAAATCCACGGCCGATCTGGGGGGAAAACACATTACGTGTGTTTAATACTTATTCGAACAGGATTACGAAGACCTCACCCCCCGTAGAGGGTGAAGCCGCCCGTGCTGGAGTCAACGAGCTGCAAACCCCAGACAACGAACGGTCCACTCACCCTGACCGGGCACGTCACCTCGCACAGCCTCAGCGTCCTTGTCCGTACCTACGTCGTGAAGCTGTCGTGAGGGTTAACTGAGACACACCCGCGTGGCGTGCGGCACAGGGGGAACCTCACAAAGACGCCGACGCACGTCCGAACCCAGCTTCGTCCTTCCCTGAACCCCGGGGGACACGTCCGCAAGGTGGCTTCAGGGTCCTTGACTGTGAAACAGGAGCTGACTACACTAGCAACCTGCCGAGACTACTGTGAAGCATGAATGGGAAGACACCCGTGGAAGCTCCTAGCATGTTGTATGTACTCAATAAATGGGAACTTTTCTTCCTTTTGACTGATGTTTCAGAAATTGGAAAAAAATCCAAACAAATCGCTTCCAGCATGTATCACACTACTGCTAGTCAAACCATTTCAAAAGAACCATAATAATGTAAGGACTAAAAACAGTCCCCACAGGACTGTCCTGATGGGTATGGGAGAAACAGTTCTGAGGGCGGAGTGCTGAGCACAGACTGGCCACGGAGCAGGTCCCCGGAGATGGACCAGCCCACTAAAGCGGCGCTCAGCACTGCCACCCGCCCTTGCGGGGAGGCCTTCTCTTCCCGAGCGGAGGGAGAGCTGGCTCGGGCACCGCCTGGCACTCAGTGGTGTCATCTGCTCTCCACTCGCGGC